TGATGATGATGATGATGATGATGATGATGATGATGATGATGATGATGGTTGGACAGTGGAAGTCGGCAGCCGTTCTTTACAGAGAACTCGTCGCAGGCACGGAAAAAATGCCCTAAAAGCACCTGTCAGGATAGAGAGCTGAGACCTCCAAATCTCTTTGGAGTAATACAGAAAGGATTGCTTCTCCTCTGGCAGGATCCAAGATGAGTTCAACTCGCTCCCGTCACCCAGCAGGTTTCCCATGACCACCAGACCTGTGACCGGAACCCCAGAGGTCAAGCTCTCAGGCACTTGGCATGAGAAACGGTTCCGGTGCAGCGTCACATTGGCTGAACCATTGAGAGCTTTGCAGCCATCCCATAAGGTCGGGCAGTTGGCCTCGACCGCGCGGCGGTCAATCGGCAAGTCCAAGAAGGAAAGTAGCCCCGTAATCCGCTTGATCTGCCAACATCGTAACGGTCCAGTGATGAACTTGGCATTGTCCATGCACGGCGTCGTTAAGCTAAGATCAATGATGCTTCCCCCGATGAAGTTCTGGTGCAAGGTCAAAACTCCAAGGTGCTTTAGCTGCTTCAAACCTTTGGGGAGCACACCTGAGAGCTGATTCTTGTGCAAGGCCAGAATCACAAGCTCTGAAGTATTCACTTCCGGAAGCGGGCCTTGTAAGCGATTGTTGTTGAGCGCCAGGAACTTCAGTTTCGGGAACTGCATCAAACAGGCCGGGACCTCACCCGTGAAGTCGTTATGGTTCAAACGAAGCTCCTGCAGGTCTCCACCCTTGGGGCTCAACTGGCAAAATCTCTCCACGAGCCCAGCAAGGCCGCCATGAAAATTGTTGTGGCTGAGATCCAAATACCGAAGATGCTTCAAAGAGTTGACTGAGAGCCCTACCCCCAGGTCTCCACTGAAGGCATTCCAGCTTAAGTCCAAAATCTCCAATTGAGTGTTGCTTTTCCAAATGCTGGAAATCCGGTAGCTGCTGCCGGTCAACTGGTTCTGCGCGAGAGAGAATTGCTTCAGATTCTCCAGCTGAGCCAGCTCTCTAGGAACTTCCCCAACGAAGTCATTCTGGTCCAGGCTCAAGACCTCAAGAGCCTGCCACGCCCACCCCTCATCCCAGCACCCATCCACACCACACCAAATATCACTAAAACCCTGCTAGCATGTGTCATGTGTGGCTGTGAGGACTTCGTAGATTGGCTGGACGGGTTTAAGGTGGAAGCTGTGGGCTTTCGGAGCTTGTGGATCGGTTCTTCCACTAGTTCCATACCAAATAGATAGAAACGAGTTCCAATATAATTCTAGTGGGAATCTTACTTTTGTTTCTATGTATATGTATATGTCAGCTTGCCTTCCAAGCGCCTTTGAGGGGGAGTTGGATGAGATGGCTTCCTCCACAGGTGTCCCGGATCAAGGTCCCCCGTCGGTCCGAGGTCCCCCGAGTGTCAGTTGCGTCCACTGCGTCAGTTTCTTGTGGTGTTGAATGGATGCAGCTGCACGGCACAGCTGCAGCGAAACTGACAAGAAGTTTGTGCCGGACTGCGTCCGTTGGGACGTGGAACCTGCATTTGGCACAAGCGAAGTCGTTGGGACGTGGCTTCTGAAGCCAGAGTGGCTTCTGGAGCTGAGCCGTTCCTGACAATGCCTGGCACGAAACATGCCCCACACGGGTCGCTGTGATTGGTTCACACAGCTCACTCTGGGCAGGATCTCCTTGACTCCTTGACCTTGTTCTCAATTAACACGCAAAAGAGGCGGAACCATGCGATCCAGTCACCGCAACATGCGGCGGGCGCTGATCGCCACGCATGGCGCAGAATCGACACGTTCGGCGGTCGCCGGACATGGACACATGGGCGACGAGGTGCTGTTTTTCCCTCGTTCTTCTGAGTGGGTTCTATGCAGCTTTGATGCGGCGCTTGATGGGTTCTGCGCCCAAAAACGCCATCACTTTGATTCAAGGGCGAAGCTGTGAAGGAAGTATATGAGCGTCCGCATCGTTCATGGCGCGCAAACTGCACGCATGGCTTCCACGGACAGTTGTCTTCGGTGATCGCAAGAGGGTCGCAAAATGTAAAAATAGACAACACACTTTGGACAAGGCTTTGACTGACCCCTCATCTATCTTTATGAGTAGTTCATTTGAACAGGGCTTGGTTCTTCTTGGTTCGGCAGCAAACTGGTCTTTTCAAGTTACAAAAAAGATGCACTATATAATCGAAAGCTGGAAACTGGTGTTCCTTCCTTGCTGACTTGCTGGGAAAGAAAGAAAGCTGGTGTAAAAATCATAATCGTTTCTTGAAGTTATGTATCAGGATCTTCGCTCCTCAACCAAACCAAGTAGCTACCAGCACATATTTTAGATCGAGGATGCTTCTGTGAGGGCCGGAGTTGACTCAAGAATTCAAACACTGCGACAGATTGGTACTGTCTAAACACAGGCCCAGTCCACAGAGCCGATTCGGAATCACCGCACCTTCAGCTGCCCCAACTCTCTGGGGATTTCCCCTCTGAGCCGATTCTGTGCAAGCTGAAGATATCGCAGTGACTTAAGCTGCCCGAGCTCCTGATATCGAGGCGACGTGGAGCAGCGAAAAGCAGCGTCCATTTCGACGGTGTGTTATATAGGTCTTGTCAAAAACGAGTGGTTCATCTTCACTGATGTTCTATGTGGAGTTTACTACTTATGGTTCAGCACACCGGGGCAGTTTAGGGTGCTTTATATTTCTTTTCTTAGCACTAGAGTTCAGAGATGATGCTCTTCGTTGGCATTGGGACAGGAAAACGGATGACGTTCGTTGTGATTGCTACGATACGAACGTTCTGTGAAAATACTAGGGGCAGCAGTGCCCAAGCTGACCTTCGCTGTCATTGCCATCGGAATGAAGAATGGTCTTCAAAATAAATACCCCCGACATGCGAACAGAACCAGCGTGGCGTTTCGAGCGAAGCTGACAGCAAGGCATGTCCCTCTTGCCAAGTTTGTATAGGAACAGAATCTTCAGGGCCATTGGGAGAACAAACAAATCCTACATGCAACAATCTAACACCTATCCGCAAAACAATTGCAAAATGTCTGTATCCTGTCCAAAACTCAATCACCCTCCCCCTTTTGTGGACTCTTTCTTCGAGCAAACCGACGATCATGGGCACTCTAACAGTGCGCCCCCCCCCACACTGGGGCAGTGGTGGTTCTGAAGACACCGGACGGTCCTCAATTGGGCACCGGACCTACAACACCTGACCCATCTGAAAAGCACCCAAGGAGATGACCAGTCCATCTGTGATCTTGTTTGGGGTTGGGCCTCAGCTCTCTGAAGCGTCTCAACTTGCGATTGAACTGTTAGAATACAAGTTGAGATTCGTGTTGACCATATTCGTTCAGTTTTCCATGTTAACACGGTCATTGAATCAGCGAAATCATCCAACGAACCCCGCAAACGAACAGGAACCATCGCAATGATATGGAGCAGTTGGAGGACAAAGACGACGCTTCACGACCTTCCAAACGCTTCCACCGCGGTCCCTTCGCCGAATAGCTCCTTTGGGATCTCTTGCTCCAACTGATTCCTCGAGAGGAAGAGTTCGCTCAAGGCCTCCCACGGGGGGAGTGACCCGCTCGAAGTGTTGTCGCGCGGGCCAGGGAGTGGGGAGAGTGTAACAAAAGGTGGGCTCATGATGCGATCATGGCTAGACAAAGCTGCACAGGGCAAAGATGCATTCCAATGAACCCAGATGAAGCTCAAAATCACTGCAGCCCCTCTCATCCTCCCCTGCTTCTTGCATCACTCCCTACAGTACCACACTGTTCCCCCATCTGCCTCCAAGCCCCCCCAATTCCTTGGGAATAGCTCCCGTCAGCCGATTCTCGTAAAGAAGCAATTGCCGCAGGCCCCTCAAACGACCCAGTTCTGGGGGGCACGCTGCCGTTCAAAGCATTTTCGCCCAAGAAGAGATCCTCCAAGTGGAAACAATCTCCGAGGTGGGGGATTGGCCCCTCCAGCTGATTGTTGCCCATAGAGAGTGTCTTCAGGGCCTTGAGCTTCCCAAACTCCTCTGGAATCACTCCACTCAGCTGGTTGTCCGATAAATGAAGAACCTGTAGCTGGTGCAGTTGCCCAAGCTCTTTGGGAAGGCACCCAGTGAAGTTGTTGTTCCAAAGGTCCAGTTTCACCAAGTGTTTCAACTGTCCTAGCTGCTTGGGGATCTCACCCGACAGCTGGTTCCCCCCAAATTCAGCATCTGCAAACTCGCCAGCCCACCCAAAATGTCGGGAAGGACGCCCCTCAGCCGGTTTCGGGCGAGATAAAGGTCTTGCAAACGTTCCAGCTCACCAAGCTCTTTAGGAATCTCGCCCGACAGCTGATTATCGTACAGGTAGATGCGCTCGACAGCTTTACATTGCCCAATCTCAGGAGGAATTTCACCACTGAGCTGGTTCTCGCTGAGGCCCAAGAGCTCGAGACTTGCCAGCCGGCAGAGGTCTTTGGGGATAAGACCGCTCAGTTTGTTCCTGCCACCAAATTCCACGGTGAATTCAATACAACGAAACGACTGAGTGGCCCGAAAGCAGAGTAGGAGACAACACAGGTAACGATGATGATGATGATGATGATGATGATGATGATGATGATGATTATTTCTATTATTATTATTGTTATTATTATTATTATTCTGCTGACTATGATGATGACAGCGATGATGATGAAGATTGTGATAACCCTGCTAACGATCACAATGGTGCTCATGCCAAGACAAAGTAGAACCCCTCTTGCACAACACTCTTGCAGGGACACTCTTGTAGGACAGTGTTGTGGGCTTGTGCAAGGAGAGTCTTGTAGAATACTTTTTCGTGACACTTTTGTAGGGCAGTGTTGTGTGACGCTTTTATGGGACACTCTTATGGGACACTCTCGTGGGGCAATCTTGTGGGGCAGGCTTGTGGGATACTCTTGTAAAACACCTTTGCTTGACATTTGCGCTAGGGCACTCTTGTGGGACACTCTTGTAGGGCACTCTGCTGGGGCATCACCACTCATCCCCCTCACCAGCAACACGCCGTGTCTACACACACACGTGCTTCTTTTCCCCCAATGGCACGGACTCGCACAAACGCGCTTTCCACCAAGCCCGTGGCAATCCGCATGCCACAGCGACATTGCGGGCATAATCTCGCCACAGCGCGCGCCACAGATTAGTTGCAGCCAAAGCCCCTTTAACACCGATCATCCCGCATACCACCGGCCAAGTTTACATATACGCATAGCTGCTTTCCGGCTACATTTGTAGTACAAAGTTGCCAGTTCTGGGTCCAGACACCTCCAGATTTTCGACGACGGTTACACACTTGGCAACTTTCACCTTGTCTCTCGATGAAATTTACCCATGACGGTTTCACATTTTGGCCACTTCCACCTTCACGTTTTGCCGACTGTAGCCATACACTTTGGCAACTTCCATTTTCAAGGACAGTTACACACGCTCGACCATTACACGCTTTGGCCACTTCCACTTTCGACCTGAATTGCAAAATGCTTGGACACCAGTTACGCACTTTGGCCACTTGCACGTCCAAGGCTCAAGACGTTCGCATATTTACCACAGTTTCGCGCGTCCGACACGCACGATGTCCGCACAGGGCCACCTTTCGTGAGCATCGGCCCGACCAGCTCGCCGCCTTAAGAGAAGATTAGAAACATGTCGAAGCAATGTTGTGTAGGTGAGCTTTGTATGTGTCTTCACCTGTATTTAAGCACCTGTATCTATTGTAGACGTGTTGTAGCACCGGCATCATCTGCAGGTCTCCACACCTGGATGATGATGATGATGATGATGATGATGATGATGATGATGATGATGATGATGATGATGACGAGGATGAGGATCATGATGATGATGATGACGACGATGACGATGACGATGACGATGACGATGACGACGATGACGATGACGATGACGATGATGATGGTGATGATGATGATGATGTCGATGATGATGGTTCATGATGGTTCATGATGGTTCGACAGTTGAAATTGGCAGCCGTTCTTTGAGAAGAACCCTTCACAGGTGCTGTGTCCCTATGCTGAACTGATGTTTCATGTTTTTGTATGTGCTCACGTTAAATGAACTCGATGTTTGGTCTGTCTCCTGCTGATTTCCAGGGCTTTCAAGAACTTCAGCTGCTGCAAGCTTTCTGGGATCGTCCCGCTCAGTTCGTTACCAGAAAGAAAGAGTTGTTCTAAGGATTGCATCTGGCCCAGTTCTTCCGGGATCTTCCCTGTCAGCTTATTATCCGCCAGCTGCAGCTGCTTAAGAGCTCGCAGTTCCCCCAGCTCCTTGGGCAGCTCTCCGCTCAGCTGATTCTGGTAGAGGAACATGTCTTCTAAGGCGTGAAGCCGTCCCAACTCTGCGGGGATGCTGCCCTCGAGGTGATTGCTATGAAGAAACACATGTCGCAAGAGCTTGAGCCCTCCAAGCACTTGGGGAATCTCTCCAGTCAGCTGGTTTCCCGACAAATAGAGCTCCCTCAAGGACTCCAGTTGCCCAAGCTCGTTGGGAATAGCACCACTGAGCTGGTTTGAGGACATTTCAAGCGTTTGCAGCTCGTGCAGCTGGCCAAAATCCCTCGGTACTGGACCGTGCAGTTGGTTCTTCCCCAGGAACATCATTTCCAAAGCTTTTAGACGGCCGAGCTCCCTTGGAACTTCACCACTCAGCTGGTTTCCATGGAGCCGCAGTTCCTGCAAACGGCCCAGCTCTCCCAGCTCTTTAGGGATTTCTCCGCTCAGCCTGTTGGCGGTGAGGCGGAGATACTGGAGACCCTGAAGCTCTCCCAGCTCCTGCGAGGACGAGGAGAAAAACGACACTTCGTTGGTCAAAGATATCCACCGAGAGTCCTGTCTGAGGCACCTCAACAACTCGGACAGAACTCTTTTTTCGGGATCACGACACCAAACAAACGCCCCTCTCCTTGAAACGTCAATGATATAAATCCACTTTTTGGTACCCTTTTTTCGCCGCCCTAAACAACAGCGAAGGGAGAGACAAAGTCCTGGGGAATTTCGCCCGTGAGCTGATTGTACGACACATCCAGCAGCGTCAGCTGACGCAAAGCTGAAAGCTCTCGGGGGATTTTGCCCGTCAAAGCGTTTTGCTCCAAATCCAAAGCCCTCAAGCCGCGCAGCTGTCCCAGCTCCTTGGGAATTTCGCCAATCAGTTGGTTCTCATGCAGTCTCAGCCATTCCAAGGAGCTCAACTGTGCAATCATCTTTGAGAGTCGCCCCCGAAGACCTCGTCGATGCAATGAAAGGCCAATGAGCTCTCCTGGACGGAGAACACAGATATGATCCGCCACCGAGATGCAGATATCCGCCATATTCCTTTAGCCAAATTAGCCAAATATATGCAAATATACACGATGCCTTCCCGATTTAAGTGCTAATGGTGTGATTCATACAGCGACACCGATATCCATAGAAGCCCTTTCAAGAGTATTACTGTAAAAGAACCGTTCGCAATCCAGGACCCTTATAGTGAAACAATGGTTCTTCGCACACTTAGTTCAATTTGAAACCAATCTGGAAGACCTGTATCAAAAGTCGTCAAAGAGTTGCAAATAAGCCCGAGTTAAACCCCAACAGCAAGTGAGGCAAAATGGATGTTTCAGATTCGGCCGCCCTGCCCCACCCTTGAAAGCAGAAAACTCTTTTTCCCCAAAGGGTTTACTGTTGGGGTTCTATCTTAGAAAGAAAAGAGCTGGCCACACTCACTGGCCGCGCCCCTGAACTCTGTGGCTGGGCTCTGTGTCCACCTCTTATCCTCCGCGAGCGCGCGCTCGTACGCGCTCATGTGCTATGCACAGCTTACTGGGCTCTTGTCCTCCTCTTGTCCTCTGTGCTGGGCTCTGTGGCTGGGCCTTGTCCTCTTCTTGTCCTCCTCTTGTCCTCGTCTTGGCCGCTGTGTCCGGGTCTTATCCTCCTCTTGTCCTTGTCTTGGCCGCGCCACTGAAATCTGTGGCTGGTCTTTGTGGCCCGGCTTACTGGAGAGGTGTGGCCGAACAAATAGCGATGTCAATGCCGACAAAATTTCATTGATGAAGCAATTTGCTTTTGGGGCGAAATCGATTATTGACTCATATTGGTCTAAACGAATCGTTTTGAACCTGTTTGGGGTCTATGCTTGTCAAAATTACCAAACTCGGAGGCATGTCAGTGTCAAGTGCCACTGCGTACCTGTCTCACAAGCATGTTCGGCAAATTTAGGGGCAAAGCCATTGGGGTGCCCAGATTGGCTGAACCTTTACTTGGAAGCTCGGAACCCTCACTTGGAACCTTCGGAACCTTCACTCAGAACCTTTACTTGGAACCTTTGCTTGGAACTCTTTGGACACTTGACACGGAACCTTCGCTTGGAACCTCAGAACCTTCGGAACCTTGACTGGGAACCTTTACTTGGAACCTCGGAACCTTCACTCGGAACCTCAGGGAACCTCACCGGATGACTGCCCTACAGTGCCCCAGTGCCTAGTTTGGCTGAGACCCCAAGCTTCCGCTGTTGGGGAAAAAAGGATACATCTGACTGAAATCCATTGCTTGGAAGGTCTTCTTGACGAAGCTGCCCCAACTCCTTCCACCCCCGAGTCGCTGGATGGACAGAATCTTCCTTTTGAGGGGTGGCTCCGACCGCTCAAGTTTGGGGGGGTCATGTCAGAGTCATGGTCTATGTTTGTGATCTCAGGGCTTTTAGGCTCATGGCACGCACCTTTGCCCAGGTAGGCCGATATTTTTTGGAGAAACCTGGTAGTGCGACTGCCTCAGCTTGTGAAGGCACAAAGGAAAAGGAGTAGAAAAAAAACACGGGAAGATGCTTTTTAGTGAACAGCTAAAATATGGAAGAGTAATGACTATATACAGTAATGACGTAGAAGTTGAAGGAAGGACAGGAAAGTAGGGAGAAAATAGAGCTAGACCTACAGTACCTCAAAGCTTTGCAAATGACGTGACACGTTCCCTTCAACTCTCCCCACTTCAACTTTCCCCGCCAGGACCTGCTGGGCGTCCTCCCTTGGGCTGGAGTTCGATATACCGGCCGTATCAAGTACACACAACAAAGCCACATGGGCCTCCTCCAACAGTGAACCTCGTTCTGAATCTACAGCGGCACTATCGCTAAGAATGCCCATATACCAGCAATGTCATTCTAGATTCTTGCCTTGTTTTTTGGTTCCCCTCCTTCTTCGCAGCCGATCTCTTCGAACGAACAGGGATTCTGCGCCATCACTTCCGCCTCTGCTGCGTCCAGGCCCAGCTCAAGGAGCACGTCATAGAGAGTTGGATCGATGGTCGAAGCTCCAAGCACCATGGCAGTTGTGCTGGGTCAAAATCGGGACACCCTGGTTTTTCCAACTGAAAATGAAGAGAATAGACTACCAGGTGACTAGCAGGAAGGGCAATGTACCAGGGTGAAACAGGCTACAGGTTTTGACTCACAGCCATGTAAAGAAAGCCTAGGTCGAAGAGGGTATGCAGCTCAAAACCTCCTCGCGTCTTTCTTGCGCAGAAACGGCCAGCTGAACGTTTCCGGCTCCTTGAACCTCCAATCCCTCCCCAAACTGCCACCGGTTGAGAAAACCACCCTCTAAAAAAAAGAAAAACGTCCTCTTCAAGTTCATCTCTGCCCTGTCCTTTTTCAAGTTCATCTCTGCCCTCTCCTACAAAAACTCCTCCATCTCACAAAGCCACACGAAGCCTGAAGAGAAGGCATTGACACTTGAACATGATGATCATGTGGGTGGGCCACAGGATATTAGAGCCCTCTCTTTTGGACCATGCCTTCCATAACGACACTGATGCCCATCCGCCTGTGCCCGAAAACCATTCCTTTTAGCGGAGTGATCCGAACCGGTACACCTTCTATCACAGTCTGAGAGTAGCAGATCTTCCAAGTTCCTAAAGGATCCTAAAGGACTTTTTTAGGATAATAAGGCGTGCTTTAAGGCCCGATTCCACGCTTTTTGCAAAGCATTCAAATCCTGTATATAATCTCAAGAATTGGTGAAGCTCGAGCTCTGCACGCACAAAATTCTGGAGGCGATCAACTGAAAAGGCCTGGGAGTTCGTTCATGGGTGTTTCGACTCACTTCTTCCGCACGTCTTCGAAGAAAAACCACTCTTCTGAGGTGTCGACCGTCCCTTGGAGCTGCGCTGCGCCTGGAGCTGCCATGCTGCGTGGCAAGGCCTTGGGTGGGAAAACATGAACACATCTTCCCCCAGAAGGGGATTCATTCACCCTAATAGGTTGGAGGCCATCGCTAGTAGGTTGGAGGCCATTCTTCACCCAAAGGTTGCGCCCCCAATCAGCGATTTACACAGGAATCGGTCCGATCCACAAAACCCTGACAAGTGGGCGAAGAGAAGCATTCCTGTCAAGACGTTCTTTGCATCCAGTGCCTCTCTTTCTAGCAGAGGCAAGGGCTTCTGCCCTACAAACACAGCTCTTGCTTGCACGAGGAAGTGACAATAGACAAAGGGAAGCACCTCACCAGGAGATGTTCACTGCAGGAATCCATGAAGAATTCAAATTATTTGCACTACCACAACCGCGCCAATGTCAATATTGTCAATATCAAATTGCTTGGTCAGCCGGTATGCTGGATTTGCACTACCACCACATATCAAATTGCTTGGTCAGCCTGTATGCTTCATTTGACTTGTTGATGTTCTTTACATGCAAAAACATTGACTCAAATATATATATATATATATATAAATATGGTCTTCCCTGTGGGCTACGTCCTTCCACGTGATTCATAGCTCCTTCCTTCCCAGCCTTCTCTGATATTCTTGGTGATACCTGAGTACAAGCCCAGCCTCAATGCAGCCTTGCCATAGACAAGCCTCCATGCTATTTATTGGTGAAGCTGGACGTACAAAACGCATTGACCACTCGTTCTTTGCGGTATCCTCTTGCTCACCTACTAAGACCCATAACCCGGCTAAGCTACTCCACAAACACGCCTTTCATGTCTTTCATGTCGGAAGAATTGATGACCTGTTCAAACAGTCTAATCTGCCAATCCCCATCAACGGATTGCATTCACTTTTCAAGCTCCTCTCAGGCTATGGCAGGCATGTCTATTACTCGTAACTGCCGTGCTGCCTGGATGCCTAGAGGGGGGTTTAAACATCAATATCAAACAAAGGCAAAACACCAAAATCCAGGCATTCGGTTTCTTGATCCAGGTGCCTCTCTTCCTTGGGGCATGCGCACTCCCACGCAATCGCTGCGACAGCGCTGCACCAAGAGAAGACAGCGCTGCACCCGCTCGCCCCCCACTCGAACCCGGGACCCACACTAGGACCAACCGGCGTTCCGGCGCGTCGGCCTTGGAGCAAACGAAGCGTGGCGGCCGGACGCAGCAGAAACGAAGCCACGAGCGGCAGAAGGCCATCGTGGAGCCACGCAGCTTGAGCGATCTCGTTGTGCCAAAATCCGAAAGAAAACGAAACGATTCTGAACGACTCACGAAGCGTGAACACGATCCAATCATTCACAAAACTGCGCCTCCAAACAAGATCAACAAGTGCTTTGAACCCCCCAAACCCCCACAAGTGAAACCACGAGATCTAACTTGGCGACGTGAGCGTCGTCAGAGCTCCAGCTCCACACGGTGCTCCACACGGTGCCCCACACGCTTCGAGGTATCACCAGCGGCCGTGAACCAGGTCACCTGGTCAGTCCGCCCTGAACGGTGCTGACGAACGGTGCTGACCGTTCACCTTTCCTGGTGGAAAGCTTTCCATGTGTTTTGGTCATTGGTATATGATATATTACCAAAAAAAATCAAGATCCGATGTGAAGAGGTTTTTTTAACGCGAGGGGCGTTATGAAAATCAAGAGTCTACATGACGCCTGCTGGAAGAGCAGAGCAGAGCAGGGTGGAATCGTTCGAGCCATTCAGCAGATTTCATTGCCTCATCCGTCGGTGTCCTGTCGGTTCATGAGTGCATATAGGGTAGTCTATGGGGAACCCGTTCGACTAGCCAGGTACTCATTCATCGCATTCGGATGTACTTCTCGCTACCCCCAACGCAGAGTCTCTCGCACATGAGCAATTGAACGCGCCGAAAGCCGAGGTGTCTCTTCAATCCAAAATGATTTGATCCAAGCTCTAGGACTTGGGCCGCCACGTCAAAATGCCTTCAGCGCTGCCTGCAGCGCTGCCTGAACCGGGTCGTATACGCACTCAGTTCTCTTTGCCTCATCAAGCTTGTTTGCTACATGGCACTCCTGCGAGGAGGTTCACACACGCGTGTACTGTACATACCAGAAAACATGCTCCTTTACCTCACTGAGTAGCGTTTTGGTATGATCAGCTGCAGAAAAGAGAGGTCGTAGGGAAGCTTCATTTTCCTCGCATCCCAAAGTACCATCCCACTGTCATGGTCCGGTCAAGACTTCCGCAGGGTGAAGACTCTCGGCCCCTTACAATGGCTTGATGGGCATGGAGAACCTGATCTTGGACCAACGGATGTTCTTTCGGTATTTGGAAGGAGCAAAGAAACCCCAGCCACCTCCGCCCTTGTTCGGCTCGAAGGACTTGCTGGAGGCACGGCAGCAGCAGTCTCGACCAAACCCGGCGTTGTTGTCATCATAGTTGCATTTGTTCCACTTGGAAGTGCCAGAGATTGCATCATTCACATCCGAGTACAGCTCAAACTGCTTGTTGAGCTTGTTGTTGGATGACTTCCATTTGTAGATGTAGCCACGCGCGTCAAAGCCATCTCGAACTTGAATCTGCTTGTACACGGACCACTCATG